GAAATAATGGCTTTTCTTGGACATGATGAAGATGGAGGAAGTGGCCGTTAAGGGGTTAAGTTCTATGGGAATTCCAAGGCATTTTGGATCTGGTAGTTTCCTGAAAGGCTCCCTGCAGGGAGCATAGGCATGGAGACTACCAGGCCCATAATACCTTGCAGTTGCCATAGAATTTAGCCCCTTCCAGCCACTTCTTCCATCTTCATTCTGTTGGAGAGAAGTGATTGCAGATACTTGAAAGGCCTGGTGTGTGTGTGTTTTGGCTAAAGCCACCATAAGTCAGGAGAAGGGATACATGCTCACTTGTGGGGGCTGTAGTCCATGCATTCCAAAAATCCCCATGCCTATTGGTTGTGCAACCGGTCACACAACAGAAAGCCTGTCAGAAGGGCGGGCAAGGGCAGATAACTATGTGCCTACCCTTCCACTCCATATTTAGGCAACAGGAAACTGGCCATACATTTTTTTCAAAAAAATCAAGAGAAATGCATAAATTCTCATGTGAGAAGGTGAACGAAGTCTTGCAACCCAATATGAACCAGAAGTGGTATGAAAATACAGGCGGGTTAGATGAAATGCAACAAGAGGGAGGGAGTTGCTCACATCTCTGGTTGGGACAAACTTTTAATGGATAGTTATTCTGATTGTGCCTAATTTCAGCCCAAATATATACTAGTTTTCTCAATTTGATGCTTGAAGTTTTAACTGGAACATTTAGTCGTGTTTTCTGCAACTCCGTTAACAGCTGCACTATTAAAACGAGGGAATAATAAGCGAGATGATGAAACCAGACTCGTCAATTTCACACAACAGTTGTGGATCAACATATTGTGAAAATACACCCACTGAACCACAACAGAATATCTATATTTTGCATGGCATGCTAAGGCACACATGAGTATGGCGTCCGCAGTCTTTAAATCACACTCTCCCCCGTCTTCTCTGCTCCCACACAACAGCAAGAAGCGTTTTAGCAGGGTTTACTTTTATTTTCACAGGATATCATCTATTTTATGTGGAGAGCAGGCCGTGGTTAATAATGTGGTCATTTGAATGCAACCTTTGTTGTACAACCTGCATTTCAGGAGATGAACTCCAATTTTTGATTTTCGAAGAGAGAGAGAGAGAGAATCTGAGAGAACTCTGCTAGTCCAGGACTTTAAACTCATTAAAAACAATATGACTTCCTTTCCCAATACAGACAGGGCTATTGGACCACACTAATAAAAAACGATGTTTGTAGATGCTGAAATAGTCAAATCTTGTGTTCCATTTCTGGGTGCGACTACACTAGCAAGCTGAATCAGAGCAATTGGGCCTCACAACGCCTTGACCTGCAATTTATTATGCAGTTGTAGTCCGTTTAGGTGATCACATGAAGATCCAAGTTGCAGTATCCTCGATCCAATGCCATTTGATATGCTCCCCCCTCCACCAGCTCATAAATCTTCCAAATTAAGTAGATCAGTCACAGTGAAAAGACCATGGAGCTTCATGTCTGAAATGCCCAAGAGGTAGCATTCCTGCTCATTCTGCATTAGATATCCCTTTTGTTTATGACAGCAAGAAAATACTACCTTTTAGGGAATAAGAAGTGGGTTCCACTTGCTACTTTTTGCCATCTTCCTCCTGCCGGTCTCTGACCTCAACCGCAGAAGTGACCGTGGGTCTTATTTGTCTAAGTGATGGGGACAGACCACAATCTAACAGTGACACAGGCCTTTCTATATATTCAGATGGAGATTTGACATTGTAATTTTCTGTCACCTTTTTATCCCTCTTCCGTAACTTCTGTTTCGTTTTCTGTTTGGGCTTTTTATTAGCTAGTTTAAAAGGTTTCTCAAACTCCATTTTCTTATAATGTTTACCTTTTGCATGCTTGATGTTTCCAAACCTCTTTGATATCTGTCACTCTCCTTAATTACCTTAATCACTGTTTGACAGAGCTCTCTATTTTTTTTTTCACTACCAGATATGGGCATGAACTGCCGGTTCGTCGGTTCGTACCGGTTTGTTGGGCATGAACTGCCGGTTCGTTGGTTCGTACCGGTTTGTATTGGCTTCCCTGCCCCACTTCCTCCAGGTGCTGCTTCTGAGTGGGCGCCCACCAGAATAGGCAGGGTGGTAAAGTATGAATGATAAAAGGAACTGTGATGGACAGGAGTGGTCATGCTCTTTAACTGTCTTCCATTCTTCTTATATTTCCTTCGTCCCGCCTCTTCTGTACAGCCATTGGCTCCTGAATCAGGGTTCCATTGTGATGGACAGGAGTGGTTCCTGACCTGTCCATCACAGGAACGAACCACCGATGGTGCCCATCTTCATCCACTAGCATTTCCTTATACTTCTGCTGCCTGCCTCAAACAATTCGTTCGCTGTACCTGAACTTGATCCAGCTTTATTGCATGATCCTGGAAGTATAATTTATAGCTTATTACACTCAGACGAGTGGGGTTTGAGATGTCCAACATTCTTCAATATGAGAAACAGCCAACCTTGAATTGTAAGACTGTCATCTATAATTGCCTTCCTCTGACAAGAGCAGCTGTCTTCGTTTGTTTTTGCCTTTGACGTACGAATTCGCGTTATTATCAGCTTATTCGGCAAGCTGTCCTTTTCCAAAGGCGTTGTGAGTTTCTGGAGTTGCAACGGCCTGAGGGTGGTGCAGCTCTGATGCAAGATTAGCAAGGGGTAAACCCTCCACAGGATCTCCATAGCTTTGAGGCCCAGAGTCCAAAGCAAGGCAGAATTCGGTGTATATGAAAAATCAGCTTCTCCCGTCTTGTCTTTCTCCTGGGGTTCTGAAGAACCGTACAATTTGGGTCTGCTCATTCTGCGTGATCCCCACGATTCTGAAAGCCTTTCTGGTTAGTGCAATTCCTTGGCTGTTTTATATCCAGTGCAAAGAAAAGCAAATGGCTACCTCTCCAGTGATGGTAAGGAGATGTTCTGCTGCTTTTGTAGCTTTGCAACTTGAAGGCCTCTGCAGTCTCTCTGACACCAACCATCGGTTTCAAAACATGACCTTATTTCCTTCAGCCCTTCGTGCTTGTTCCACTCACAGACCTTTCTAAACTTCCAGACTGGGAGTTTGAAAGTGCCAGTCGATGGTAAAGAAGAGCACTCTTGCAAACAGGCTCACTGAAGTGGCTGAGATTTTTTCGCTCGAAAAACAGGTTCCAACAAACTCACTCCAGGATACGATGACATCGGATCGGACAATATTGAAAAGATTCATTTTTGTTTCTAAGAAACCAATTGCACATCCTGGGAAGGTGGGAGTGGACTTATTCCTTGGACATTTGTAGCCAAATTATTTTCAGATCCCTAAATCATTCCACCAGGCGTGTGTTGGTATTTCTGTTTCAATGAATTAGCACCGAGGAATCAGAAGTCTACCTGCAAATGATCCCGAAGCCTATGTGCCACTATTTCCAGCATTTCTCACTTCACCTGCCCGTTTTCAAGGAGGAAAAACCTCCTCTCCACTTTGCTCCAGACAGATTTGTTTGTTTTGTTTAAAACATTTTAACCCCACTTTTCTCCTTAAGAAGACTGAGATGACTCACGGCGCACACATACATCTTTGGTGATATTTCTGCTCTCTCTGGGGAATCCCTCAATTCCTCCTTTTCTCACCCAACTCAGAGAACCACCCTGTGGAACAACGTCTCGCAGAACAGGTTGCAAGAATCGGGGGCTGAATTCCATCTTCTAAATTATGAAGTTCCGCAGTGCGCGGGGTGAAGGGCTCAGGGAAACAGTAGGTAGATCCAAAACAACACAGGGGGGGATGTAATTTTTTACCAACTTGCATTTCTTGCCATCAAGTATAGCAATGTGGTGTAGTGGATACAGCAGCAGACTAGAACGTAGGAGATGACTGGGGGAAAGGGGGGGTGTCACAGGGATTTAATAGCAAAGGTGTCATGAGTCACAGGATTGTTGTTTTTTTGCCCTCTTCCTTTTTTTTAACAAAAAGATCATCGTCTACTATCTTTACCCAGAATACCTCACTAAGAATTAGGATGTGATGCATGTAATTCAAGAGGGGGAAATGACAGGATCTTTTTATGCCGCCAGGATTATTATGGGACTGGAAGCCACGCCCTGTGAGGTGATGCATGTAATTCAAGAGGGGGAAATGGCAGGATCTTTTTATGCCTCCAGGATTATTACGGGACTGGAAGCCACACCCTGTGAGGAAAGAGTGAAAGATCAGGGTATGTTTAGCTTTGAGAAAAGAAGACAGAGGGGAAATAGGATAGCGCTTTTCAAACTCTTTCAAATATTTGAAAAGCAGTCCTCCAGAGAAAGGGCAGGATTTGTTCTTGATCATTCCAGAGTTCAGGATATGTAACAATAGGCTCAAGCTACAGGAAGCCCAGTTTAGGCAGAATATCAGGAAAAAACATATTCACTGTTAGAGTAGTATGACAATGGAACCATTTACCTCACGAGTGGTGAGTGCCTCAGCGCTGGAGGCATTCAAGAGAAAATCGGATGCTTCAGCGCTGGAGGCATTCAAGAGAAACTCTGAACCACCATCTGCCAGATCTGCTTTGATGTGGATGCCTGTATTGAGTTGGACTAGATGGGCTTACAGGCCCCTTTCCAACTCCTTCATCCGACGGTTTTATGATTCTAAGCCAGGGCTTAAAATTGGCTTCCAAGGTTCTTTACAAGCCATGGAATATCATTTGTTAATTATCTTTTTCATATCCCATTTATCTTCCAATGCACTTAGGGAATCCACCCTTTTTAATTCTGGCAAGATCTCTCTGAGATAAATCAGGCTTGGGGGGGGGGGAATAAGGTTGGTCCGAGGTCCCCCTGCTAGCTTTGTGGCACTGTCATCTCTTTTCCCCTCTCTGAGACCTGAATCCTGCTGTGCCTCCATACCCCGCATTCAATAAGGCCCTTGGGAGGGACAAAGGCTTAAGCCAAGCACATTATCAGCCCTCAACTCCAGAAACAATGCTCCTCCTTTCTTCCCTCACCTGGTCCGGCTGGGTTCAATCTTGCACGGATCCAGCTCCACGTACTTCTTCTCCTCAAAGATCCGGTTAATGATGGACTTCAATACTTCATGCAGGTAGGGCATTCCCACCACCTGGAGGAGCCCAGAAAAGACAAGATGATGTGGGAGGAAAGAGGTACACTCACTGAAAGAGGGGTATGAAAACACATGCACAGAAAACTTAATATAGCAAGAAAGGCTGACTGTCAGCACGACATCAGGGAAGAGCCCTAAACTCAGTTTCTGGTTTCATCCTGAGTAAGCCAAGTGAATAATTTGCGGATCGGTGGTGAGTCAACACCAATGATTCAATAAGCCTTCTGTAGACAGGCCTGTTCGTTGGATTCAGGCCAAAATATTTTATATAAAGTATTTGAAATGTTTTTACAGTTACTAATTAAAAATATAAAGTATGTCAAACGTGAGATATTTCAGCATGAAATGTAAACTTCAATCATAAATAAAGACCTAAACACAATAAACTCAGATTTATATATAAATATATATAGAGAGAGATATAAAGATAATATAATATGTTACTATTTATTAAGAGCAAATAGCAGTTCGTGCCCACCTCTTCTAAGGGATACAAATGGTGATTCATTAACTAACGATAGTTTGCTACTCTGATTTATGCCACTGCACTTCCACTGGTTTGAATAACATATAGGGTTCTGGCCTATATTTTTAGTATTTTATATAAAACATTTTAAAGTAACCAATTGATGATCGTCACTTTTTGCTTGGAATCTGGTCAATAAGTGCATCACTTGCATTCACCTTATTAGAATTAATATGCAAGAGGTGAACGGCCAGTCTCAAAATCTCCTTGTGCTAACATTCTCAAAGGTATGTTGAGATGGGTGAGAATTTTATTTCAGAATGGTTTTTGATTTTAAAAAGCAACAATTTATAAAACTTTTTCATATTCTGGACAGAAAAAAATAAGATAAAAAAAACAGTATAGGAGAAAATATAATCAAAGGATTTGTCCTTCTATGTCCAGAGCTTTGAGTCTTTAACTATGAAAAATCTAGGTTTGAATCCCTTTGCACCCATCCAATCATGTCATAAATTAGGGCTGCTAATTCTTTTTTCTCACAGATTCCTTGTCATTATCATCTATATAGCCACCAGAAACAATAAGCTCTTTTTCATGCTATGAACAGCTGTACATAGTTTGGCTGCTATGAACAGGAGAGAATTTATTTATTTATTATATGTTTATAATTTTTTTACCATCCCATTGTTAACAAGCACTCTAGAGTGGTATACAAACAACCAGGAGAATTTAATTTTGCCCCATTTTTCATCTCTCTCTCTCTCTCTCTCTCTCTCTCTCTGTCTCTCTCTCTCTCTCTCTATCTGTCTATCTATCTATCTATCTATCCATCTATTCTATCTCTCTATCTCTCTCTCTCTCTCTCTCTCTCTCTCTCTCTCTCTCTCTCTCCATCCATCCATCCATCCATCCATCCATCCATCCATCCATCCATCCATCCATCCATCCATCCATCCAATAAGTTGTTAACAAGCAGTCTTGAGTGGTACACAAACAGGCTAAATATATATATAGCCTGAAAAGATTTTTGAGGCCTTAAAAATTTCAAATGAGGGAGAGAGCTAAATAATTACTGTAATTAATTAATTTTATTCATATGCTGCCTTTCTCTCATAACTGAGACCCAAGATGGCTTAGAGGACAATTTAAAATATTCAAAGATCAAAATACAGTAAAATCACAATCATTAAAATAGAATTAAATTTGACTATAGATTTCAAATGCAATTACTATGTAAACTTATACATTTATTTAATTATTTAATTAAAACCGGTAATAACATTTTCTGTCCCTAACATATTTATATTGGTTTTAGGTGACTTTAACTGGCTTGTCTTCCTCTAGGGGATTTTGGAGTTTCTACTCTGATTCATGGGAAAAGAACAGACAAGCAAAGCCCTCCTGGATCTCAACAGTTTTTGTTTTCTTTTATTCAGGGCATGCCAAGAAGCAGTGTCAACTGATGAGCGTCTCAGGCCACGGCAGAAAAGTTCAACAACCACTTAGCTGTCCCGCATCTTGAGAGTCATGTGTTCCCCAGTCCTCCTCCAAAAAAATAGGTGCTAACACCGCGATTATTTTTTTAGTGAGGATTTTATCGAGTCGAAAAACCTGCAGGGTTTGAAACCCTGAGAAGTAAAGAGGTTTACAAAGTGGTTTACAAAGCCGAAGTAAGCAGAAGAGACCTCTTGGAGATGCCGGTGAAGGCAAAACTTGTTTTTGATCAAGGACACAAGGGAAATATGTTTTCACAAAACATGTCGTGGCTCTTTCAAGGGGAGCCACAACCCACAGCATCTTCTGAGGGGTCCTCATGCCCACCGAGGCTGCGTCTCCTCAGGTAAAGGCTACAGTAGAATCCTGTTGCATCAAGTGAAAACAACGAAGACTTTGTTCTGAAGGCAGGGATCCCCTACCCAATAGGATAATGTGAGAACAATGACGATTATGCTCTGGAGAGACTCTAACCCAAAAGGGCCCCCCTACTTAACAAGATACAGTGGTGCCTTGCTAGACGATGATAATCCGTTCCACAGAAATTGCTGTTTAGCGAAAGCATTGTCTAGCGAAAAGCATTTCCCCATTGGAATGCATTGAAACCTGTTTAATGCGTTCCAATGGGGAAGAATCGTCATTGTCTAGCGAAGATTGGCCATAGGAAAGCCACTTTGCGAACCGCCGATCAGCTGTTTAAATTGCTGTCTTGCGAAGCTTAGGTCCTGAAAACACCTGTTTTGCGAGCACGGAGGAAGCTGTCAAAATTGTCGTCTAGCGAAAATCGGTTTGAGAAGCAGGGACCAAACATTGTCCAGCGAAATTCCCCCATAGGAATCACTGTTTTGCGAATCACTATAGCGATTGCAAAAAGCCAATGTCTAGCAAAAAAACTGTGTAGTGAGGCGCCACTGTAATTTCATGCTATCAAGCAGCCAAAACAAGAATGAAAGATTCTCCTTTTCTTTTTCAGACAAAGTGTTTTCACAGAGAGGGGCAAAGATCTTCACTGCTTTTATGAGCAGCTGTTTTTCACAAGGGGTAACTCTGGTGTCATGCAGGAGGTGGGTTGCTGCACCCACCCGAAATGACAACTTTCCTGTGATAAATCGCACCTGGTGACACACTCCACACACCGTCGCCCACAACAGAGTGTGTCCTGCTTCTTATAGACTCTGCTCTTCTCCCCTCTTGTGTCCCTCCCAGGATATTCCTTCACACACACACACACACACACACACACCAGCACTGCCAGTCCCTTCTCTCTTCCTCACTCACCTTCATGAACTGCTCCATAGATTTCGAGGCCAAGGAGTTTGAGCGGAAGAGGGTGTTTGGATCCGCTGAAAGAACACAGAAGGACTTGCTGTTTCTGTTTTAATTAGCACGGGTAAGTGAGGAACGCTACCTGTGACAACGACACCCACTCCCACAAACCACTCTTTCCATCGTTTCTCACTATGCGTGCCACCTCAGCCCTCACTCCTCAGGTGAAACTGTCTTTCTTCCCTTGGTCATTACTAGTTTGCTCTCTCTCATGCACACATCTTCTGGGTTCCAATTTCAGGTACCATGATAACAGTTTCCTGAGATCCCCCAAAAGATGCTGGTAACTAATATAATCTTAAAATGGAGAACTGTACCTCCTGTAGGCTTCAGAGAGGGGACCCAGTAATGAGCTGATTTACCGTATTTTTTCGTGTATAAAACTCTCCCATGTATAAGACCCCCCCCTTTTCTAACCCGAAATTAAGACATCTAAGTGGGGCTTAGCAAGCGCAGGGGGAAAGGGATCAAAGCCCTGCAGGATCACTTTGATCCCTGCTTTCCCCTCCACTTGTTTTTGTTCTCTCCTCAGCTTACTTCCGTGTATAAGACGACCCTCAATTTTTAGTCTAAAGATTTTAGACAAAAGTATAGTCTTATACATGGAAAAATATGGTATCTTTCATTCATTTTTTGATTTAGTGATGGAACAAACCATCACCAGTATGTGGTATTCAGAGCGGTGCAGGTGACCTATGGACTTATAGTGCCCACCCCCTAATCTCTGCATATTTCATTTATTCTACTTCCTCAAACATCTCCTTGGCCTTCCTGGTCTGGAGGATTCTGGGAATTGTAGTTCATACCTTATTGTCCCAAATTCTGAAGATCCTCACATCCACACAGAGGGAGCTTAGCATGAAAAGCTAAAAGTCCCATTACGCCTTGGCTGAAGTTCTGTTGTGCGGATGCACCTGCATTTCTGGACTGATAGCAGCAGCAGCGGCAAAAGATTGCTGCTGACTAAAGACTTCCATTTCTGATTTTGCGTTGGGATGTGCATTTGGATTTAGAAGTATTTGGAATTCACCAAATTATGTAAGAATCATCGGAGGGCAGAGACGGAACCACCCGCCCAGGAAACCAAGGAACTAACTGGGCAAATAGCAAGAGGTGGAAGGCAGCAAATACCACACCCACATCTCAAAAATATTATTTCCACTGCAGAAGCAGAACCCACTCAACAGGATTTTGGCTCTTGAGTAGAAGGAAACAACAGAGTTCTGTTCTCTACAGAGGCAGGAGCTAACTGTAGTCTTTATTTTATACATATATAAAATCACAACATTTTTCCTGAAGTAAAAGAGAAACCACACCCACACAAGAATGATGTCAACAGCAGAAGCAGCACATTGCATCTGATTAAAGACTTCCATTTATGATCTTGACATGTGCATGGCACACAAGCAATGAGATGAACAATGAGCACGCACCCAGAAGCCATTATGCTCTGGCTGAAATCTTGTTCTGCCAATGTTCATTGTTTGTCTGTAGAAATTGCTTGACCACACAAAAGCTTACCAAAAAATAAAAATTACCCAAGTCTGTCTTAGTGCTATAATACTTCTGGTTTCTCTTTTGTTGTAACAGACTAACACAGCTACAGGCTGGATGACCTTTAAAAGCACTTACTCGTTCTAGAAATCTCCCGGAGGTTGAGGTAGTCCAAGAAGGGCACAACAAGGCCTTGCCCAAGGAAGATCTTGACTAATCTGGTGGCCACATCTTGGCGACTCTCCACTGAGCACACTTCTTCCAGGAGGGCCACGGGTGTGACATTCTCCTCCTGCAGTACAACAGAACATCTGCACGTAACATGCTTCTGTGCTTGCGTGCGTGCTATTAAATGCTGCCTTCTCTAGGCACCAGAAGTAGAACTGGGTGCAAATATATGGTGATGAATGCATGTATGAGTGAAAGCTTGGAGCAGTTACTTTTTCTAGGTTACAGCTCCCAGAGTCCTCAGTTAGCGATGCTTTTGGTTTCCTATGTTGCTGAAAAAAAGGTAACTTTCCCAAGTTCTGATGTGAATAATGTTGGTGCATAGACATGATTTATTATGCAAAGTACACAACAGAGATTGTGTGACTCTGAAATTTGCAGGCCTACATGGAAGTGGATCTTCCAGGCTTTGGATTGTGGAACAGCACCTCTTGCTCTTTTGGGGAGCTCTCCAAGGTCCTGAGATCTCCAAATTGGTGCTGCTGGCACACAGACAATCAGAACCCCAAGCTATTCTCAGCACATTCTAAGGCTTAGATTGGCTTTGCCCATCCCGGCTGGCCACTGAGACCTCCAAGACAAAAGAAGACTGAGCCAATGATTCTAAGGCTTAGATTGGCTTTGCCCATCCTGGCTGCCCACTGAGACAAAAGAAGACCGAGCCAATGGCCAAGAGAATGCTACTGAAGTAGCCCGCTTCAAGTCAAAAATGGTCTAATTATCTTAACATTTGAATTTGTTTTTAAATTTTACCTATATTTCACAAGCATTTATCATTTTAACTTTTACAAACTAGGCCCTCCTCTTCTCCCATTTGGTTATCTTTATGTATCACCTAGAACCTTGGTCATTATTGGTCTAACTAGAACCCATCCCTAGAATTTTTCTCCATTGGAAACTATCTGCCCGACTAAACGACTAAACACACACACAGAACCCATCCCTAGAATTTTTCTCTGTTGGAAACTATCTGCCTTTCTTTGTGCACCCTTCCGGTCGTATTGCTGTTTTCTGAACACACAACCCCTCTCACAACAAAAACAGACAAAAACCCAACATAGTTTGGTTAATTGGTTCTTCACTTCTGGCCAAGTACCCACCTCTGGAGGGCAGACGACTGACTCCACCAGCAGGTCTACGAGGGGCTGGTAGTACCTGGAAGGTAGGATCCTTTCCTCAGCCAGCCGAACCCGGAGCCTCAGGGCCCCCAGCTTCCCCCTGCAGGCAGATCACATGACACAGCCATGATGCAAGCATGCAGGGTGCATCATTTGACCTGCATGAGTTACGCTACAAAGAAATGCATGAACAGGAGAAGAAGTATCAATCAAGCCTCCCGCCCCCCAGGGAAGACATTAAGATGAAACCTCCAGCGGCATCATAGCGAAGGTCTGTCTAGCCCCTTCCTGATCCCCAAAGGGGTCAACCAAATGCCTCTGGAAAGCCCCCCAGCAGAATTTGGAATTCTCACTCCATAGCCATGCTGGTTGAAGGGGGGCTGGATGTTAAAGACTGCTGATATATCGCCCCATAGTGCTTCAAGCACTCTCTTGGTGGTTTACAAGTTAAATATGCAGGTGCAAGCTGGGTATGCCTTTTACCAGCCTCGGAAGGAAAGAAGGCAGAGTCAACCTTGAGCCGACTCCCTGGGATTGAACCCTGGGTCATGAGCCACCTGGAGTGGGGGGGGGGCTAACCTTACTGGGCCCTGATGCCATTCAAAGACTCAAAGGAAGCTTCATATTTACCCAGCATCCTCCTCTTCCTTAGGAAAAGGCAGCAGGCGGTACCAGCCTTTGAGAGGGGCTTTCTGGAAGGCATCCAAAGAGAACACAACCTGTGGGGGATCGGACAAAGCAATGGTTTACTGCAGAGGCCTGACACAATACAGGAGTGAACCATTTTCTCATAGGGAGGAGGGGAACAAATTAGAATCCCTACCAATTTCTAAGCCAAGGAGGAGAAACTCTGACTTTTACAGGAGCTTTCCATTCTCCAAATGGGTTCAGCACCTTGGTCAGCGACCATCAATTCCAGACTGAAATCAGTAGTGGATTCATGGCTGCTCATGAAACTGGAGTAATCAGCTTCCCTTGCCTCTCATCCCTCAGGATCCCAAATGGGGACCCTTGTGTGTGCCCCACCCCCTTGCCACTCACCCGTCCTAGGAAGTCATTCTTGCCCACCATGTCCCAGTCCCACACTTCCACTACCAGAGGAGTTTCACCAGAAGTCCCCTCCTCCAGGACGAACTCCAGCAGCTCATTCCAGTGGGGGAAGCGGGTCTTCTTGATAATCTGTAGAGATGAAAGCAGGCATAAGTGCATTGAGCTAAGGGCTCACCACCTTTGTTGCAACATACACATATGCTACCCTAACACGGTACATAGCTACCATATTTGCCGGCGTACAAGATGACTTTTTGGGCCCAAAAAACATGCCTCCAAGTGGGGGGGGTCGTCTTGTACGCGGGGTGCACTGAATGACGCGGGGCCGCGCTGGCCGGGCAGTCAGTCAGTCAGTCTGGAGGGAAGCACAGCCTGCCATGCCTGAGCGGCATAAGTACATGGAGCTAAGGGCCCACCACCTTTGTTGCAACCTATGCATATGCCACCTTAACACGGTACATAGCTATTTCCCCTAATTTTGTCCTTTAAGGAAGGTGTAAGTGTCAGGGGTGTAATAAGGCAGCTTTCTCTTTAAATCTTTAAATCCCTGTGAGGGCACACTGTCCTAAATGTGCCAGATCTTGTCTGATTTCAGAAGCAAAGTAGGGCCAGGTCTGGTTAGTACTTGGATGAGAGACCAGTAGGGAACTCATAGGTCATCAGGTAAGGCTACAAAAGAATCTTGCTTGGTGCCCTGCTGAGCTTGACAATACTGGGTTCGATGGCCCAAAGGTCAGATAACCAAGCTTGCCTCTAAGAGTTAAGAGGAATGTTTAGTCCCAAGAGTTAAAACACATTGTCTCCCACAATGGATTTCCTTTGAGACGTACATGCTTCAGCAATGAGATATGCAAACTACATTTATGTTTACTTTCCAATGACCAATCAAGGCACATAAAGACACATAAAATGCACGCTATATACATTAGGAAAAACATGATATGACAAATAGATGCCATTCACCAGTTGCGGAGCACCTCTGCAGAAAATGTGATACACAGGATTGTTTAACTGTGAGAAACAATACAAAAAGGGGGGAAAGATGAGCAGGAAAGATGAATGGAAGCTCTTACAATGACAAAGAGCATTAAAGAGTAAATCCTATGTGTGGTTTTCCTCACCCTCTTAAATTCCATTATCAGTTTTGAATCCCCCCCCTCAAGGTCTTCTCAGGACACAGCCATGGCTAAGCAGAGAACCTACCACTCAATTTGTTTACGCACCTCTTGCTTTTCTGTACTGGCCAGCGGCTACATCTCTCCAAATAATTTGGAAAAAAATAGACAACTCATGGGGTAAACCAGCAAAGTTACAGGTGGGATCCCCAATCTCAGAGCATCTCTGTTCACCAAAGGTGGCAGTTGCCTCTCCATCAGCTCCGAAGAGTTCCTATCCAGTTCAGAGCTTTGACTGGCCAACAAACTCTCTTCCCTGACTTTGATGTCTCTGTTGAACTTGAGCTCGAGCCCTCTGGCTCTTGGGTCTGATTTGGGTGAGGGTGACAGCGTCTAAAGAAAGTGCCTTAGCCACGAGGGCTACATTTGGAATTTTTGCTATTTGGGTGTCCTACCTCATAAGGTTGGTGTGCGAGGTTTAAAGTATACAGCTAAAGGGTTTAAGTTTAAGTGAATAATTGGAAATCTAGGGACAGAAGCTTGACCATAGTTGTCCACCTTCTAGGTCTCACCCAAGCTAGAATGAAAACGTGGTAGAAGCTGGGAACTACAGTTTCACTCCTTTCCCTAGTGGAATGACTTCTCTAAGGAGACGCATTCCTGACATGGTCATGACAGGTCATTTGGAGCATCTCTGTGCCTCCCTGACACACAACATGCACCACAGTTGTACTTACAGCTGTTTCCAGGACCTGCCCATTCCAAAGGACACGGACAAAGGGGTCTGAGGTGCCAGAGATGTCCCGTGGTGCAAGGTCCCTATGGAGAAGAAGAGGGAAGATGGAAACCACAGTGTCCCAACCTTGGGTCCCCAGATGTTTTTGAACAACTTCCCAACCTTGGGTCCCCAGATGTTCTTGAACAACAACTTTTCAAACTTGAGTCCCCAGATGTTCTTAGACTACAACTTCTCAACCTTGGGTCCCCAGATGTTCTTGGACTACAACTACCCAATCTTGAGACCCCAGATGTTCCTGGACTACAACTTCACAACCTTGGATCCCCAGATGTTCTTAGACTACAACTTCTCAACCTTGGGTCCCCAGATGGTCTTGAAATACAACTTCCCAACCTTGGGTCTCCAGATGTCCTTGAACTACAACTTCTCAACCTTGGGTCCCCAGATATTCTTGGACTACAACTTCCCAACCTTGGGTCCCCAGCAGCAATAACAAAGAATCCTCGAATCCTCCAGAAATGTTTCTCTTTTGATGTTAACTTCCCCAATTTCTTCACCATGGGCCATTAAGATGGTTTTCTATTTTTCCATGTTTTTCTTGAGGAACTTCTGGATGTTTTTACTAATCCCAAACATCCATGCATACAAGATGATTGAGCAGGTGTTAATCCAGCTGTGTGGCAATGAATCAAATGCCTTTTTATAGTCTATCCAGGCAATGTTAAGGTTTGGTTTTTTTTGTCTTTTTGCATTCTTCAGTATCATTTCATCAATAAGCAGCTGATCTTTTGTGTTTCTTGACTTTTTAAAGTTCCGTTTTGGTTCAGTTGGTTATAGGGAGTTTTAAAAATTATATATTAATCTTGCAAGTACCCCTGTGAGGAGCCTGAACATTGTTGGAAGGCATGTAATTGGTTGATAATTACTAGGTTCATTGGCCTTTTGAGGATCTTTTATTATCAGAAATATGTGGCCTGTTGTCACCCAATCTTCAGTTGTAAAAGTTTTGAAGAAAGGAGATTAAATTCCACTGCTATACTTTGAGACTTGTTAGATGCTTTAAGCAAAATCTGTGCAGCTCATCTAGACCAGGTGCACTCCAGTTTTTCACAGTCTTTACTTGCCTCTCAATCATTTCAATTGTTATTACAATATCATCCATTTGTTTTCCTTGAGTTTCTTTAAAAATGTCTTTAATCCACAAAGCATTTTTTGTTATGTCCGGTTGGACTTTCCCACAATTTCTTCCAAAATTTTAGAGCATAATCTTTACATGAGCCTAATTTATTTTCCTCTGCATTTTCTCCTAGTGACGTATAAAGTAATTGTCGGTTATTTCAAAATTGTGTGTTTTCTCTATATTGTTTCAAGCATCCATCATATCTTTCAATTTTCTATGCTGTAGCTGTTACCCACTGTTTTAATTCTTCCATAATTTCAACAATTGTTTTATATATTTTGCATAGTCTGGCTTTTACTTTTTCATTTTTAAGTTTTGAGTCTTTCAAGTGTTTTAAGTTGCTAATGTCTTCACATAATTTGTTTATTTTTCCTTCTAGCCGAATTTTCCATTTTGGGGTGCTATGAGTTTTCGGGGGGGGCGGCTTTGCAGCTTGTAACCAAGTTTCATGGTTATTTTGGTAGCTGTGCTATACACGAGCTGGTTTGTTTCCTTTAGCGTGTTGGTTGGGATTGTTCTGATGACAACATTTGCATAATTCAGTAAATATTTTACTGGTTTACTTTGTGATTGGCGCAAATTGCGGGATCCTTTGTCTTTCTGTGTTCTGGCTAATATGAGTTACTATTTTTCCCCTCAGTGATGTTTCCCGTTCTGTCAACTGTCTTGTCTTTCCATGTCTGTACAGTGCTTAAGAAACTGCAGTCACTATACAGGCCTGAGGGTAATGGTGAGCATAGCAGTAGTGATGATGATAACAGGATCGTAGAATAATGGGGTCTGAAGGGGCCTCTATGGCCATTGAATCCAACCTCCTGGTCAATGCAGATTTGATAGGTGGTTGTCCAATTTTTTTCTTGAATGTCTCTAGTGTTAGAATGCTCACCACTTCCAATGTTATTGGTTCCATTGTTGTACTGCTCTGACAGTTAAGAAGTTTTTTCCTGATATTCAGCCTAAATCTCGCTTCCTATAGCTTGAAGCCATTATTACCTGGTGGTGATGGTGAAGATGATGATTAGAGATGGGAGTATTCATGTTCGTATACGTATACCCCCACACAGGTGGAGATAACGAAGGTCCAGCCCCATGGGGCCAGACGGTTTACCCCCACACAGGTGGAGATAACGAAGGTTCAGCCCCATGGGGCCAGACGGTCCGCTCACCAATGCGCTAATGCTGCGGGGTCAGCACTGCTGTCCTATCGCTCTGGAGATCGCGATTGCCGAGCCACTCCGGGCAAGGAGGCGGGACAACAAGCTTCTCTGCCCGCAGCATTAGTGCATTGGTGAGTGGACCGTCTGGCCCCATGGGGCCAGACTATCATTACCTCCACCTCTGCAGGGGGTATTTGTATACGAATATAAATACCCCCATCTCTAACGATGATAGCCACAACAATAGGGTTGTGATCACCTTGCAACAATCCATTCAGTCTTGGCTATATACTCATTTGTTATGGAAAATAAAATCTTATCTACCTTGAAAGTTCAGCCCGGACCAAATATAATCTGGATAACTTTGAGCACCTACCCACACTTCACATGCTGCCAAAGCTTTTCACAGCTCTGTGTTCAGTTTTATTACTGTTCATAAGTTGTTAATTATCTCACTTTCTAAAGTACAGGGGGCCAGGATTCACACTCCATTACAACAGCCACAACACCTTCGGTGCAACACCCTCTTTTCTCAATGCAGGTGTGGGAAAAGAGAGAGAGAGAGAGAGAAACAGCTCTCAGCAGTCATCTAGCTTTAACAAGAAGAATAACAAGAACAGGATGGAAGAAGGACTCAGCCTTGTGTCCTGGGTAAAATGCAATGCTTTAGTTCAAGAATCCACTGGACGATGAAGCTTTCTCTGCTTCTGAGGTCGTTGGGATAAAGTGGGGCAGGGAAAGAGCAAGGTGTACTGCATTGAGCTTGTCAGAAGGAAAGCAACATATAGCTGTACGACGTGATTATGATGACCGTTGTAATGAGGATGGTGGAAGAGGAAGGAAGGGGAGGACAAGGATGAGAAAGAGCAGCCAATATTGGGAAAGAAAAAGTCCACTTTATGGAAATTTTGCTCTCTTGCTTCCATTTGCATTCACTGTGTTCCTTGAAAGTTGAGAGTTTCCCATGCCTGTGCTTGGGAGCACACTGACACTGGTCTTTCCCGTTGTTGTTTTTTTAAAGAACAAATACTCGTCTCCTGGACACAACCAGATGCTACAGGCCTTACAGCTGCCACTGGTACTACGTGATATCTAATTCCTCAGAATATTCAGACAAACAGAACATTATGTCCTGATTATCCTTCCTCAACCTGCCTTCTCCAGATGAGTGGGATGGTGTTTCTGATCATCCCCACCTAACACAGCATGTATCAAGGTTCTGATTACAGATAGGGTGGCTTTTAACTAACTTTGAGGATGGTGAAAAATAAGAGAAAAGTCTAGACAAGGATTTGGGCGGAGAGGGTTCCGCAGGTAAGAAAATCCGGTCCTACGTGGTGGTAGCAAACATCACCATGTTTTTTTCAGAAGATCTCAGCCAATAAGCAGGGGTCTCAATAGGGTGGGAAATCCTTAGAGCATGTGCTCATGAACTAGACAATAAAGGCTCTCTTTCCATGAACATCAGGGGAAAGAGATGTGGCTGAGAAAGAGCGTGGCAGGAAGAAGAGTGGGGAGATACAAAAAGAGGGCGGAGAAAGAGAGAGGAAGGAGGGGTGGTAGAAAGAAAAGGAGGGGTAGAAAGAGATGCACAAGGAGAAGGCTCTGGCAGAATAAAAGAGAGGCGGAGAGTGTGGCAGCCAACAGAACGAGGTGTTAGAAGGTGTTTTGCTTCTTCTTTTTCAGGTGTTCCAGCTTCGGTGGAGAGATGGAGCCAGTCGACGCTGAGGTAAGTACTTTCTTGGACGAGGTTTTCGCCTTGGACTTGTTTTTCGCCTTTTTTGGGACGTCCAGGGCAGTATCCGATGAGGTGGATTGGGCTACCCTAATCTCCGACCGTACTGAAGAGGAGGATTGGGCTACCTCCATTTCAGATGGTTGAGAGGCGGACAACGTTTGCTTCCAAAGGGAATATCTGAGACGTTGCTGCCGAGCCTTCAGCGTCACCTTAGTGAATCTTTTGCAGTGCCGACAGTTGGA